CTTTTGTAAATATAATATATTTAACAATATCATTATCATCGTCATCAACAATGACCAGTATCACCTTCACGACAACAGCCCAGCCACCAAGTCAGTCAGTCAATTGGCCACCGACCACTTTCATCACACTATATATCCACCTGCAGTGTCACAACGTTCATATCTATCTCTGCAATTTGAATATTTTTAATTTTTAACATAAAGTGAAAATGTGCATTGGAGTGTTTTGTTTCTAAAAGTAATTGGTTAAAAGAAAAAAAAGACTCTTTCGGAAAACTGTAAAAGATTAATGCCAAAATAAAAAAAAATATAAAAATACAAAAGAAAAAAAAAAATTCTCATTATAGAAAAAAAAGAAGTGTTAACAAAAAACCAAAACAACTTTACGACAACAACTCTACAGCAACAACTCTACTACATCAACTCTGTGACAACAACTCCACGGCAACAACACTATTACAACAACTTTACTGCAACAATAACCCTGCAACTACGGCAACTCTAGAACCCTAAGATAAGCAACCATGAATAAGTATTAATAAGTATAATAAGTACTAAGTAAATTTAGATTTTAGAGTTCTTCATTTATCTACTTACTTTAATTAAATTTAAAATACAATTTAAGATATATAAAATTAATGTTAATAGTGAATTAAAAGAATTAATTAATTAAAAAGGAAAATGAAAAGAATGAAAATGTCTTGCTAATCTATTTGCTTTAAAAAGGAATGTTAAGTGACCATAGGTAGGGTGTAAGATGTGACCATATCAGAAGCATGAAGTATTTTCTATAGTTGTGCAAATATAGATCTAGAGAAAGAACCACGCGCGACTGGAGATAGCCGGAAGGAAAACACAGCATGCCTCGCCCCTCTAGATCATTTTACGAAAACACAACAATAATATTTGAAGCGTCTCGTTACCAAAGAACACATATGTCTTCCATATCATAACAGTAAATCGCTGATCCTGGATTAGTGCGAAACGAATATCTTCTCACTATATATGTTATTAAAATATTACTGCAATTTTCCCCAAATAAATAAAATAAACATATTTTGAATATTGGTTTTTTAATACATTTATTTATGTAATATTTTCTTTTAGTATGATCTCATTTATTTAATTATTTTATATCTTATACTGTTTGCTGATCTTAAGTCATATCTTATAAATTTTACAAAATAAACAAATGTATAGTTAAGATATTTTTATTTTTTAAAGACTTTTCTATCAGAATCTTGTTTTTTAATGCTAATTTTAACATAATGATGTTATTAAATGATGGCTACAATTGTTAAAAATATTGAAAGCAATCATCTTAAATATAAAAAAAAATATTACTAAACATTAAAATAAACAAAATAATACTTCTATAAACAGATTATTAACTTAATTATACTAATAATAATTACTTTTTAACACATATTTAAATACACACCGATTGAATATAATTAATTTAATAATTATAATTTTTCTTGTTTTTGTTTTTTTTTTTTTTGGATTTACTTAAAATTTATAGATTTAGTTAGATGCTACATAGATTTGTTTGGTTTAAATTTTGAATTTTTTTGATGTTTTTTTTTAATATATTTTTTTAATATTTCATTAATGAAAAGAGAAAATAGGTAAAAGATTTGTTGGTTTAGAGAGTGTAGGTGAGGTTTGTTTTACAATTTCTTTTTTATAATCATTATGATAATAATATTAATTTTTGTTAATTCTTTACTCAGTTTATTTTTCGCTATTATTTTTAATATATTTTTTTATAATCTTTTATTATTTAATGATAATTCACACTTTTAGCTAATTTCAATTTATTTATGTTTTATTATAAAGTTTTTTTTTTCTGTTTGAATTTCAAATAATTTTATTTAAATATTTATTTTTAATGCCATACATCAATCATGTTTTTAAGTAAGTATCTTTTATGTACTTTTTTTGTTCAACACATTTATTTGCACATTTACTTTTTATATTTCTTTGTTCTTATTAAATAAATACATAGTTTTAAATATTTGTTTTATTATTTCTTTATTTATTTATTATTTTATATTTATAATATTTTTTTATTTAATTTCGTTTTTAATTAATGTTGGCAATTTTTTCCTATATATACACAGTGCCTGTTGGCGTAGAAAAATAATTTAATAAAAAAAATTATAATTTCGATTTATCTTTTTTCTCAAAAATTAGACAGTGCTAATATTCTTTTATAAATATCTGTTATAATTTTGTGTTAATTTATATTTTTATACTAATTTTAATTTATAATAATTTTTTATTGGTGGTCTTGAAGTTTGAAAAAATGCTGTAGTATTTGTATTTATTTTTTGTTGTTATTTACATAATTTTGTTTTCATTTGTATTTTTTTGGTATTTTATAACATCACTGAGTAATAAAATTAATATACATACATATTCAAATTAATTTTAGAGTTAGTGAAATCAGATAATAAACCTTTCTTAAACATTATATTTTGTCTTCAGGTTTCGCAACAATCTAATTTACAGACCGTAAATAGTATTTTGCTAACAATAATATGTAAACTGAACGAGTCGGATTCGTCTAGTATTGCCAGTACCCCTGTCTAAACTGGCTCAAATAAAAAAATAAGTTTCTTTCGGTCCGTTATTAGCAAAATATAAATTTGAATAAAAACTTTTTTGTTCTCAAATGAATCAAAGGCTGATGTCAGAGTGCCTGTTACAAGCAACGCGAAGCATTGCGCTACAAACCTTTCCTTGTATTTTCCTATGTGTCATGTCAGAGTGAAAGCGAAGCTTGATGCGAGAAAACACAAGCAAAAGTTTGCAGCGCAAAGCTTCGCATCGCTTGTAGCGCCCACTCTGACATCAGCCTAAGTACAAAACGTTTACATTATAGTGAATTAGTTACTTTGAAAGGAGGATGTATATATATATATCAAATCCGAAGAAATACACCTAGGCCTTATCGATCCTTAACCAGTGCCTTAGGTGGGACCCGAACCCACCACCTACCGAAGGCCACTGACATTATACGATCAGTAAATTTCACTTTAATATAGTATAATCTTTAAATCGTATTAGAAACCAAAAATTGGCAACGTTTTAATATTTTACACTCCTAGTGTTCCCTTTAGACACGAACTGGTAACCTTATTAGGATTCATATTCAAAATTTGAACTCGAAAACACATCCACTTCAGCCATGCTCATTTTCTTTAAAATCGGTTCAACAGTTTGGAAACAACATACATAGTAATTTTTTTCAAATTCCCCCACTGTGTTTTGGTGTTTGGTGAATCGGAGCGTATGATGAATATTTAATACAATATGTATTGAAAAATAGTCATACGCTATTTAATCTTATAAAACATTGCATACTTATGCAATTTCGTAAGAAGTGACCCAATTCAAAATAATCGATTTGGATGAAATTTGCACCAAAGTTAGTACTATTGCTCAAGTACTATCCGAGTTAGAGGGGGTCAAAGTTGGACATAAAATTCAACCGTTTAAAAACAGCATACATAAGTATTTCTTTCAAATCCCCATTATGTATTGGCGTTATAGAATCTGAGCGTATGATGAATATTTAATACAATATGTATTAAAAAATAGTCATACGCTATTTAATCTTATAAAACATTGCATACTTATGTAATTTCGTATCAAGTGATCTAATTCAAAATAATCGATTTGGATGAAATTTGCACCAAGGTTAGTACTATTGGTCAAGTACTATCGGGTTTTAGAGCGGGTCAAAGTTGGACAGTTTGGTCATACAGGGTTTGTTTTTCAAATGAGTGTAACTTTTGTCCTATTGATCATAGCAAAAATTATCGCAGGGAGTTTAGATAGCTAATTCTTCAATGTTTAAATTTTTCGACAATTTTTGCTAGGATCAATGGGTTCAAAGTTACACTCATTTGAGAAAACCCTGTATGACAAAAATGACCAAATTTAAGCCTCTAACACCGGCAGACAGATAGAGCTGAAAATTTGTGTCAGGCCTACTATCCAGTAATACTAACCTTGGCGCAAATTCCATCCAAATCGATGTTCTGAGTTGGGTCACTTGACACGAAATTGCCCATATACGTATGTATCTTATAAAATATGAATATGATTGAAAGCAAACGAAACAAGGAAAAAAATTATAAAAGTAATAAAATAACTATTGCATACTTTTGGGTAAAGTAAAAGATAATATTTAAGAAAATATTTTTAAAGTGAGCATTAATTTAATTTTTTTTTTTTTACTTAAAAAGTTTTGTTATTTTATATTACAGTTTTGTATTATATTTCTATAAATTGTACTCACTATTTTTTAAGGATTTTACCATAAAATACTTGCTACATTTTTTACTTTTCTATAAACAAGTTATTATAACTATTTTTTTTTTTAATATTATCTAAATATACATTATAATGGAAGTAAAATTTATCTGTAATGCATATAAATATGTAAATTTTTAATAATTTTTATTTTATTTTTTTTTTATTAATATTTAAAGCGTTAAGCTTTTAAAATCAACAGCTTGAAGGCATAAACTGAAAAACATTATATATATTTTTTTAAATAATATAATATACACAAATTATAATTATTTAATCACTGTTATAACTAAAAATACCATAACACAAGGTAGCTAGCCTTTAAAAAAATTTAAATATTATTTTAATTTTATTCTATATTTAATTACAGAAAATTATTCTATATGTGTCTAAGTCATAATGCTTTATTAAAAGTTTAAAGAACAAATTTTTAATAAAAATTTGTTTTATAAACTTTTATTTTTAACAAGACCCTGTATATTTACAATTTTTCTTAAGATGTTGCTTTTTTATTTTGCTTAATATTGGTTTCTTTTTTTTCACATTTATATATTTTAAATTTTAAAATGCAGTTGTTATGTTTGAAATTATATATTTTTAAGGTAATTTCTAATTCAAGAGTTTTCTTTTAATAAGTATAAATATTTTTGTATAATATATATTAATTATAAAACTTTGGTTTACAGATTTTTTTTTTGTTCTTTGTTGGTTTTTTCTTAATGATTGTAAAAAGTTTTCATTGATAAAATCAAATAAATTCTTAATTAAAAATGTTTTTCCTTCTTTTTTCTGTTTTAATGTAAATAATACATGCATATTTTTGAGAGGGTTATGTATTTATGGTTTTAATTTCTTTGGGTTTGTTTCTTTAATAATTAAAATTAATTACACATAAACTGGCAGCTGCTGCTAAAAATAGCAGAGAGTTTAGGGATGGTAGAGGTGATGATTTGCTGCCATAAAATGTTACGCTTAAATCACGCATCTCGTTGTCTGCAAAAGAGGGAAATAGGAAATATGTTTGAAAAAAAGTTATATAACGTTTTTATAAAGTAGTATTGACATAGAAAATTACAAATATAAATACGTAAGAAAAATTAAAAAAAAAATTACTGAAGATTTAATTTACTATATACGCTTGATAAAAACGCTAGATACATTAATATAATATTTAATTATTTTTGGTTTACATATAAGCTATAATATTACATTTAAAAAATAATTTTTATTTTTTTAACAAAATTTTCTTTGAGTCATTAAATAGCTGATTAGCTTAGCTTCTTTTTTTCCTAAATTCCCTAAATGATTATGTCCAAGTTTATAAATTTTTTGTGTTCATTACAATATAATTACAAATTGTGTTTTATCTTAGAAAATTTTGAGTAAAGCCATTAAGCCATGTCCGTCCATCCATTTGGATGTCATAATAATTTTATATCATGTTTTATTTTAGAAAAATTTAATTAAAGTACACCAACCATTTCAGGATTAGTTTTTGAGTCCACTAAGCCATGTCCATCCGTCCATTTGGATGTCCGTGTATACTTTGTGAGCAAGGTGCAGATCGCAATTTTCAAGGTAATTTGTTAAAATTTGGCATATACGCCTTCTTGGGCCATGGATTATCCAAAATCCGAAAACTAAATTTTATATGAATATATGATTCATGGAAGAAGCACCTCCATTTATAAAAGCAGCCTCCTCCATTATTGCTAGATCTTACGTTTTTTTTTTTTTGGCCGAAACATACATACATTTCGATAATGACATTATCACTCATAATTAATTTTATAATTGGCCTTATACTAACTTTTTGTTAACTTAATTATAGTTTAAGAAAATGTAAAACACTTTACATATATTGAGTTAAATATTTGAAGAAACATGCAATGTTGTTTCCATTCGCTTGCTAGTATGTATTTATTAAAAATATTAATATTTAAAAAATATAAATTTTATAATATTTTTAAATTTTTACATTTATTAAAAAAACTAGAAACAAATCGAAACCCCTTAAAACTTTATTGAACATGCAGTTTTTTTAATATATCCAAGAAAAAAATCTTAAATACACAAAAGTTTAATTAATAAAACAAGTTATATAGAAATAAAGTTTAGAAAGAAATTAAAAAGCCAAAAAAAAAAAAAACGTTTTACGGAAGTATATGTATAAGTATAAAAGGACGAAGAAAGCATAAAATGGAATATTAGAAGGAAAAAAAAAAGTTACAGAAAAAGTTGTGCACTTGTTTGACTTGTCACAGGTAAGAAACTCAACGAAAAAGAAAACTAACCTGACAAGTGACCGTGATTTAAAAAGTTGGATAGATCAGTAAGTCCATCTGTAATTATTTAAGTGTTCAATACCATTGCAAGTATAGGAAAGACTAAATAATAGACAGAACTTTGAACTTAAAAGTTTTTGTTTAGAAACTCAAAACCAAAACGATAAAATAAACAAACAGAAAAGCGTGAAGTGAAATAAAATGTAAGTGTAGGAAAAGGAGATGTTTTTTTTTTGAGTTGCAGGAAAGGTAGTGGTGAGACTTTTATTAAACAAGAAAAGTTTGAAGTTTCCAGTTGCAGATTTTTTTTCATCGCCTTGTTATAGGGTGTAATAGGTTGTTAGCACATAGTCTTTTTTTTACCTAAAACTGCAATTTTAAGTAATATGTCATTTGGTTGCAAGTATATTCAATTATTTTGCTTTCACTATTTTAAATATAAGCTAAAATCTTAATACTAAATTTTCTAAACTATCGCCAAAACTATCATAGTTCTACAGTTTCAAAACTATCGCCGCAATACAAATTCCAGCATTAAGCGCTAAATGTATTTTATTGTTTTGCTAAAATTTAGATTTTTTTTAAAATAATTCTACTCTACACTTCAACTTAAATTTAACCACAAGCACACGCGTTAACCAGCATCGTATTATTCGGTATTGTTTATCAAACATTTTACGTTGCTGACCAAATAACACAGCTGCATTGTGTGTTTGTAGGCATGAATTTATATTTTATTTTTTAAATTGTATTTTGTGGCAAATCAAATTACAATTTTAGTGTGATATATCGGTTAGATGTACATATTTACATATTTAAGCAACAAAAATACGACTAAAATTTTGTATGCACTTAATATATTTTAGTGCAAGCAAACAATTTTACCGCCAACAACAAAAATGTTAGTTACACTAAAATTAAACATACAAAATATTCACAATTTCATAGAAACTTATACATACAAATGCATGTAGGTATGTATGTATAAATATCTTAACACATACCATCATTTGTCCATGCAAATGCTGCACATGATTTTATGTGGGACTATTTGCAAGTGGCGGAGCCTTGTCAACCTACTAAAAATACCACATGATGATGACGATGATAGTGATGTCCATCAATGAAAATCAATGGTTTTATGTTTCATTTATGGAAAAAAACTCTAAAAAAACCGCACAAATAAAACCAAAGCACAAAGCATATACTGTACAAGCACAATTTCATGTTTATGCCATTTTGCCCAGAAGGTTTACACAGAAATAAAATTGAGAATCAATTTTGGTATTTAAATACCCTACAATAGAAGTCGCTATAAAAACGGCCACTTAAATAAAAATGTGGCAAATTGTGGAAAATATTTCGTTTTATAAAACCATTTTCAAACTAAAGAAAACATGGCAAACAAAGTATGAAACAAAAATAATCAAAAAGAAAATCTTTTTCATAAATGCCATAGTTATCCAACAAAAAATGTTCAATATTTGGTAGTTATTTCATATATTACTTAGTAATGAATTGTGACCACCGGTAGGTTAGCGGTGAGTGTTCTAGTGTGATAGACCGGAGGTGGTGGGTTCGATTTCCCACCTGAGGCACTGGTTAAGGAGTGCACAATATGCCCGATAGAGGCCTAATTGTATTTCTTTGGATTTTATGTATATTAATCCTCCTTTCAAACTAACTAACTAATTAATGAAATGAACTTGTAGCCAATTATTTAAAAACCATTGCAAATAGCGCGATAAAGTAACCTGTTAATGGAGTTAAACAGCCTAATTTCAACCCTTTAAGCAGTTATTTTAGTATTTTCACTTTGCCTCCTTATAGGGCAAGTAAATTTTATGCTGGGTATAAACACTTACGAAACATTTTGTCATTTTATATTAGACATTTAAATTTCAATACACGGAATTTATGTAACGCATTTATAGTTACATTCCTCAATGCCTTTAGGCTATATACTCTATACAAAATATTTAAAATTGCAAAATCTGAATAGTAAAAAAAATAAAAGCCAAAAAAATACAAAATGTTTATATAAAATTCTATGCAATAACTTTATTAGCTGAGATTGCAGAATTTCAATGAAACTAGTCAGAAATAATAGACAATTTACATGTTGTTCAACGAGGAAAAATAATGTTTGTTAGCTTGCTTTTCGCAAAAATTAAGTTGGTAAAATTTTAAACTTAGAAGTTAAGGTATTATTTTATGAATTTTGAGAATATTTCTAATTAAAGTTATGAAACCAAGGTGAATATCAATTTTGAAAATTTAAATATAAATTTTGAAAATTTTAATATAAATTTTGAAAATTTTAATATCAATTTTGAAAATTTGAATATAAACATAAGTAAATTTCGTCGAACTCAAACATTACAAGAAATATACTATGAGATCTGCACTTGCAATTCCATAATCAATTTCGCAGGGGCAGAAAATGTATTACAGTTTGCTAAGTGTTGAAATGTTTAAGTTTAATATGTGATTCTCAATAGAATTTACTGAAAAAGAAAATGACGAACTCAAACCCGAATAAGTAGGATCATTATCTATATATAATTTACAAAATCAAAGTTCGAAATAAAAATTCAAATTTACTAATTTTGAAAATTTAATTTGAAAATTTAAAAAATTTAAATTTGAAATTTTGCCATACCTTGGTAAGCTTTTATTAAAATATAGGGTTTAACTATTAAGCAATTGGATTCGATTTTTTTTTTGTTATTGAAATAACTTGTAAAATACAATATCATTTAAGGATACAAATATAATGGATTTTTAATTTTAAAATTCCAAAAATGTTAGATATAAAAATGTGGACCCTATGGACAAAATTGTAAAAATACCAGTTTTGGATTTTCGCTCCAATTTTTGGGAATTTCAGGTTCTCTTTGATCTTTTGACAACACCCCTCATAAATTTGAAAGCACTTTATTTATTTGACAATGTTGTCATGGTTTTTGGTAAAAAAAAGCTGACTGTTATATAAAAGATTATTAAGCAAGCGGGTTTTATTATTAATCAGCTTTTATATGTCAATCCATAACAAAATTTTGGTTGAACTCAGTACACTTCATAAATCTAAAATATCCTAATAAATTACACGTAAATAGTTAGTCAGAATTAATATGAAATCAAACGATTTTAATATTGTTTAAAATTATAGTATTTACACTTTTATTTCTCATATTACACTTCAAATACTATCACTTAAATCAAAAGATATTATAAGGAGAATTCGTCGAAAATTTGAAGAATAAAAAGTTCGCACTTAAAGCTCATTTACACAGTATAATTTTCTGACCCTATCGTTTATATATTCAGGATCCTTATAGATAGAATAGATTAAACGGCATCCGTCTGTTTGTCTGTATGTATGACTGTCTGTGTGTCTTTCTATATGTATGTCTGTCTGTATATATGTCTGTATGACTATCTGCCTGCCTGTCTGTCTATCTGTCTGTCTGTCTGTCTGTCTGTCTGTCTGTCTGTCTGTCTGTCTGTATGTATGTCTGTCTGTCTGTCTGTCTGTCTGTCTGTCTGTCTGTCTGTCTGTCTGTCTGTCTGTCTGTATGTCAGTCTGTGTGAATGAATTATATTTGTTGAAATCAATTTTCTGAATATTTAAGATCCTAATCATGTATAATTCTTTTGAACATAATTTCATGTAGTTTCCTACGTAAAATCAGCAAAATTAAACATCTTATGATTTTGCCAGAATTTTCAGTTTTTTTAGGATTTTTTTTTAATTTTTAAAAATTGTTTTTTTATAATTAAAATAAAATAAAAGAAAATCATTATTAATTACCAAAAAATTTATAAGATTTAGTATAGTCAAATTTAGTACTGTTATTAGATATTTTCTTTTTTCCCATTCTCTTCGCTTTGGACGAATGTCCAACGAGAATAGTTACAAACAGATGCAATTTAATATTTGTTCATGTACATGAAGTACATACATAGTTCAACAAATTATAAATTTTTTAATTTTTATTCTCACTAACCTTTACAATTCTATGTATTTGAAATCATAGACAGGTTTTAATCATATCTACGATTTTCGATGTATTTCTTAGCAAAAAAAATTTGTATAAAGTTGTCATATAAATACCAACAGTTTAACATTTTTCTTTAATAGTAGGTAACTATTACTAAATATCCTTATTATACACATGTATGTATGTATGCATATATTCTCATTCAATAAGAACAGCGCAAGTTCTATAAAACTAATTATATGTTCATTATTAAAAAAAAACTCAAAATGTTCCATTTGAAGATGAAGAATTTAATTAAATATTCTCCCGAATATCAAATATGGAACAACTAAAACAAACAATCATAAAATTTTATCAAAATAATCTGCACTAGTGTGAATATCTTGATTTATGTAACAAAACATTGATTCTAAAAAATTTCACTGTTAATGAAAATAAGCATATTTTGAGAAAATATTATCACTTAAATGTTCGGATTTTCAAAAAGTATCATATTGTTTTTGATTAGAGAGATACATGATTAAAATTGTGTATATGATTTAAAAGACGGGTTAAAATGGGTTAAATTAAAAAAGTAACATTCAATCTATATGTAAATATTTGTGTGTTAGTGAGAGATGGGGTAAAGTGTGAGCAATCATAAAAAAATACTCAAGCAAATATTGCACTGCGTGTCTCAATTCATGTTTATTTACTTTACTTTGTGTTTCCTTATTTTTTCTTTCTTTCCTTTTCGTTTGTTTTATAAAAGAGCCTCTGTACGACTTCTTTATAAAGTATATATATGTATGTGAGTTTCTGTATAAGAGACTATTTACAGTAGAGGTACCCAAAAAATAGCGATTTTCTTTGAATGGGTTTTATATTGTTCACTATAGTTTGAAACTAACTGGTATAAACTGAGTCCAATCAAGTGAGGCAAGAATGATTTATATCAAGCAACTAATAACAAAGTTATAGACATTTTTTGACCACAAATATTAAGCAAAAACGTCAAAGTATTTCTTTCGATATCAATGTTTTATACCCTGTTCTCGCTTTTAATAGATTTTC